CCCGCAGGTGGGGGGGGGCCGCCGGCGTGCTGCTGTGGCGGTCCAGCGGCGTCGCAACGGCTTGCTGTAGCGGCTCTGGCGACTTAGTTCGGAACCGCGCTGACCTAGGTATACCTCGATGTAGATATACCTAATGTACCTCGATGCATCTTGCTACAACTGGATGTACCTTAGCTCGTCGACCTACTTGGATCTAGATATACCTCGATGTCTATTGCTTGACCCCCGCAGGTCGACTGGAAAACAGCTGGCCAGCCCTCAGGGAGCATCGCGCCGTCGCGCCGCGCCCCTGGGGGAGAAGGCGGAGGAGGAGGAGGAGGAGGAACAGGAGGAGGAGGAGAAGGAGGAGGAGGAGGACGACGACGAGGACGAGGACGAGGACGAGGACAAGGAGGACGGGGACGAAGGAGGAGGAGGAGGAGGAGGAGGAGGAGGAGGAGGAGGAAGAGGAGGTAGAGGAGGTAGAGAAAAAAAAGGGGGTAGAGGAGGTGAGAGGAGGAGGAGGAGAGGTAGAGGAGGATTAGGAGGAGGAGTAGAGGATGAGGAGGAGGGAGGAGAGGAGAAAGGAGGATGAGGAGGAGGAGGAGGAGATGAGGAGGAGAGGAGAGGAAGAGGAGGCAGAGGAGAAGGGAGAGGAGGAGGAGGAGGAGGAGGAGGAGGAGGAGGAGGATCGATCGTGCCATTCCGTTTTTCTTGAACCCACATCTGTTGAAAATCTCGAAGGCGAGCTGGTCGGCCATGATATTCCAGGGACGTGCAAGACGAAGCCCAGAGTACACAGCCCACTTGTGTGGTGCCAGGGTGAGAAGCGCAGATCGTTATTTCTAGAGGGCCCTCGGGGTTGACCTCGGAGGGCCCTTGGAGACACCAAAAACTTGGGGGAGCCACTTTAAAGAGGGGGGTGGTGGGGCCTGTGGACGGTGAGAGAAAAGCTGCGGAGCGAACAACTCACTTCTACTCTCGAATCCCATGCAGAGCAAACCCATCGATCGTGCCATTCCGTTTTTCTTGAACCCACATCTGTTGAAAATCTCGAAGGCGAGCTGGTCGGCCATGATATTCCAGGGACGTGCAAGGCGAAGCCCAGAGTACACAGCCCGAAATTCGCAAACTCCGTATGCGGTTCACGATCACGAAGCCTGTCTGAGTCTTTCGCTCACCCATGGCACCACTGGAAAATAAGATTGCTTTGGTTCCTGCAACAGCTTGGTGAAACCGGAGTCGAGAAAGAGGCCGGCCAAGACGGATGCAAACCGAGGAGGGTATGCAGCTGCTCGCTTTGTCCAGCGGACCCCTGTGGGGTCTGGTCCCGATAGCACGATATGAGGTTTCGCCGAGAATATACAGGGTTGACAACCAAAACTGGGGCACTTGTGCACCATCTTGTACATGTTCTCCACACCCCAGGACCACAACGTCGTAGGTTTTTTCCACCGCGCTCCGAAACCACAGAGGTGAGTCGTGAGCGACTGCTGTTTGGCAAGATTACGAAGGCTGCGAAACTCGACAGCGTGCCAGATCAGACTTGTCTGAGGATTCTCAATCACCCAAGGAACTCCACACTTCACAGCGGGCCTGCAGAGCTGGGCCGTCAGCCTCATGAAAAAAGTACCTGCTGCGACCTGGGCCTGCTCCGACGGAGTGTTCGTCGGGAGGCCCTCGATGAATTCACGACTTCTGATCATCGGCCTCCGAGCGTTGCTGTACGTGGTGCACGGCGGCGCCAGGAGGATGCCCAAACAACGAGGATGAGCCAGAAGCCGTCGGATGCGTCGCTGCACTGGACGGCGGGTGACGCCCCCTGCGGCTCCCTGCAGGACGTCGAAGGGGAAGGCCTCCACCCCGCGGCGCCTAGCGGCTTTGGAGAAAGCCCCGCAGCCACTGAACACCTCGATCATGAAGAACCCACGCCTCTGATGCCCTTGACGTGGCCGCAGGCCCGAACGATCGCTGCCTCCAGCTCGCTGGCGCTCCCGTTGCAGTGGGCCTTGGACCTCTGGTCGAGCCCGTTGTAGACCTCCTGCACGAGCGCCCGCTTCTCGTAGCGTCGCACCGACGCCCCCGTCCGCCAGCGGCCCCGACGCTGCACCTCGGCGAGGTCCAGCCTGTTGGTCAGCCTGTCCAGGCTGGCGCCCGAGTGCCGGCCCATGTAGAGGACCGGCTTCAGGCTGCTGATGCCCGCGGGGATGCAGGCGGTGAGGAAGCTGGCGCTCAACTCCTTGAGCGTGAAGTCCCACAGGGGCCCCCGCTGGGGCCGGCTCGCTGCGTACTTGGTCAGGGCATCTGAGAGCCAGGTCCGGTTGATGATCAGACTCTCGTCGACGGCCCCGACCTCGCTGGGCATTCCCTTCTCGGCGGGATGCAGGAGGATCGCAGCTCGCTCCATGTGCTGTTGTGCATTCCCTCGTAGGATCTGGCTTGTCTGGAGGTCGAGGCACTCGCCCGGTCGCATGTATGTGTCCACCATGAGAAGCCAACAGAGCGCCATCCCCAGGCCGTTGACCCGGAGGAGCCCCATCGCGATGGCGGTCACTACCTCCCATGGCAAGGGCCGCCGAGTGCGGCGCGGCACCAGACGGCGCCAGCCGCGCAGGGCCCTGGTCGCCCGCGGCAAGGTCATCATGCCCTTGGCGTTGTAGCTCGGCACTACGTACTGGATGGCCGCGACGAGCTTCTCCCCCGTTGATGGGGCCTTTCCCTCCAGAAAAAGTCTGTCGAAGTAGATCACGATCTGCGCGTCCAGGATGGCGGGATGCACACTCAGGTCCTGCATCTGCTGCCGCTCCTGAAAATCGTGAAGTAGTCGTTGATACTGATCTCGTGTCTTCTGCGTCAGCGAGGCCTCCTCGGTGATGCCTGGTCCCCTCGTCGTGTCCCGGAGCGGCCCGTGAACGTCCTGCCGACGTGCGGCGCGACGCTCCCGCAGCTGCTGCTCCTTGTCGAGGCTCGCGCTCTTGGCCTCCAGCAAGCCCAGGATTGGATGCCCAGGAGGAGGCTGGTTGGCACGACGGAGGCTCTCCACGTCTGGCTCGGTCTTCTGCCGCTTGTCCGTCAGTGGATAGCCCGACCTCAACGGCACACGAGAGAGCGCCTGCACCACGTGGGAAGTCGTCGGTGCGGTCCGCCGATGGCTGGGGTGGCCCACTCGCCAGTCGCGTAGCTGGCGCCGATGGCTCTCTCTTGCGGGATGGTCCATCGGCTGGGTTCAACTCAGAGGGTAGCCATCTACATACAAATCTCGATTTGGTAGAGCCCACGCTGCTGCCTTACGATGAAGCATGAGTAAACGAGGGTCTCGACACCGACCTTTCGAGAGCGAGAGGATGAGCCCCAAGTTGTCTCCCAACATCAGCCACGACTTGCCCCAATCTCCAGGATCCCGAACCGCTTGGCGAATAGATCCCAAGAAGCCCCGCATTTCAGTAACATGAATTGGCTCACGAGTAAAAACCGGTTGATATCTTTCCAGCGCCCACCGAGTTGACTGCACAAGCTGGGGGGGAACGTCGGGGAATTCACGGTTTAGGTACACATCACTGTAATCGATCTCCTTGTTTGACATATCTTCCATATCTGTTTGTTTGTCATAAGATTGTCCCAGAGCGTGACCACGGGGATTTGTACGAGCGGGATCGTCTTCATTCTTATACCTCCAACGCTCGTGCCACTTCCCTACCTGCTGTACACCCCCCACCGTCCAGGCCCCCCTCACCGTGGCATGCCCAGACTCACACGCATCGTAGGCCAACACGTCCGAGGACCAGTGAGGATCCAAGTCCCTGGACGCAAAATTAAAAGGCCCTGGATGGTTCTGAGCTCCTGGAGGACACTTTTCCACAGGCTCCGGGGCTTGGTAAAATCACCCCTGGAAAAATCGTAGCTGGCGCGCAACGTGCTAAGCAGCTCTCGCCGAATGAGAGCCACAAAAGTGAAGTGGCCAATCAGACGCTCAAGCTGACGGCTGCTCAGAGGAGGCTGCCTGCGCCGGATCCACTCCAGCGCCTGCCACAACCGCCAGTAGCGCTTCGCGGACACCTGCACACGTCCTGGACAGCCGGTCTGCTCGACGCCCAGCATCTCCATGCTCGCCGCAGCGTCGGACTCGTCGTGAGTGGCGTAGCCCGCCTGCTGCAGCGCGGCGCATGCAGCCTCACGGAGTCGTGTCACCTCCGCTTTGTCGAACCCCTCGATCAGCACGTTATCCACATACACTGTGTGCACCGCCCCGTCCTCGACTCGAGGCGGAGGCCGAAAGTCGACCGCTCGGCGCCGCGGCCCCAGCTCGGGAACTCCATCGAGAACATGCTCGTGGATCCGCTGCACCATGAAGAGGGCCCACTTCCACCCCATCGGAACCACGTTCATCAGGGGGTACAGGATCTGGTCGCCCCGCACGGCCTGGCCGTCCAGCTCAGCAACGCCCAGCTCCGAGGCCCGGACGCAGTCGAGGCCGAAGTAGGGCTGCAGCCAGCACGGAAACTGGTGCTGGTAGAAGGCGTTCTGAACGTCACCCCCTGCGTACCACATCTGCTGGTGCGCCGAGACCTCGACCTCCCCGAAGCTGCTGCCCGAGAATAGGTGGACCTTCGGCGCGGCTCGAAAGTGTTGGTTACTCCGTCGGCAATCGATAACGATCCGAATGCTAGAGTCCTTCTTCTTCACGAAAAAGACCTTGACGGCCTCCTTCCGACGGCGGCTCAGGCGGAAGATCCCCCGAGCAAGGCCATCCTTCACGAAGCCGATGTAGGCGTCGCGATTCTCCTTCAAAACTGTGTCGCCGTACAGCGTCGGCAGGCCCTCAACCTGCCGGACCTGCGCCACCTCCTGCGGCTGCCGCAGCCACACATCTCGCTGGCCCTCTGTCATGTACCGGAGCAGGTCCGGTGGCGCGTTCGTCGGCAGCGGGACCGGGCGGTTGCCCCTCTTGGGCCAGCTCACCAACTCGCGCGAGTAGGGCCGAACTGGAGAAACCTCGTCGCCATCCATGTACGACGAGGGCGTGCCCCCGAGAAGCCCATGAAAGGCTTCCTGCGGACTGATCGAATTCACCGGCTCGGGGGCATGAGCCGCGTGAAGCGCCCGCACGTCGCTGTAGACCAGGGCGGAGGGGCCGGTCAGCTCCCCGACGGACTCCACCTCGGGCGTGTCAAAACCTGCCAGGCGATTGATGGCTCGAATCGTCTCGGCGGTCCTCTCTTGGACCTTGAGCCGCCGCCGAACACGTTGCTCCGTGCCCCGTCACAGCGCAGCGCAGCCACCAGTGTAACACTCCTGCCGAGGACAGGCCAAAGGAAGAAGGCCATCTCCTGCACCAGCAGCAGCATCACGACGGTGAATTGACCCCTTGGCATTCGCACCACGACCGGGGTCCGCCGTGGTGCGCCCCTCTCTCAGGGGTGCTCCTGATCCTTCTTGCCGCCACCCTTGGAGGCCTTCTTGGCCGCCGCCGACTCCTCACGAGCCTTGCGGCGCTGCTTCATCACCTCCGTCTCCTTGCTCTTCTTGTCGGTCGCATAGTGCGCGAGCCCAGGGTTGAGCGCGACCCCGCGGCGTAGGCCGCCTGTGGGGTCGCGGCCCACGTAGTGCTCCAGGCCCTCTAGCTGGAGGGTCCCGTTGGTCTCCTCCACCAGCTGGTACAGCCGCGCCAGCACCTCGACACTGGCCAGGTTGCCGCCATCGCACTGGTCATAGCACACAGAGAGATCCAGCGCCAGACCCACGAGATCGTGGATAAGGTAGGCGGTGGAGTCGATGGCGATCTTCTGCTCCGTGGTCCACTTGGTCTGGCGGGCGTCGAACGCGCCGCCGTGATCACGAACGTACTTGAAGAGCCACAGCGCCGACCTCTCGCCCTCCAGCGGGAAGTCCTCCATCGGCTCTGTGCTCATCTTGCTGACAGCGTTGGCAAAGTCACACCGGCGTCGCCCGCCTGGGTCATAGGAGACGGGGGCGAGCACTCGAGCGTCGCCGCCGTCGGCAGCCGAACCTCCATCCACGACTTTGCTCAGGTAGTCGGGACGACACGCGGCGATCACCTCACCATTGGGCATGCGGTGGAGCGCCAGCTCGCCCAGCACCTTGTCTCCCGTCTCGGGCTCCACAGGGTCGCCACGGCGCACGGAACCGATCGTGACGAGGGACACCCAGCGGCCCCCGTCGTTCACCAGCTCCACATCCGCGTCGAGGACCTCGGGAGTGCGGGTGCCCCCTACGAGGAGGTCTCCGCCCTCTGGGGGCTCAAGAGGAGGCGGCAGAGCCGGTAGCGGGCGCCCGCGCGCACGCCGGTAGATGCCCTCGTGCAACTCCAACGGCTGCCTCTGCCCCATGGCGTCGGTGTACGCCGTCGGGCCCACGACCTCGCCGCCCTCGGACACGGCGAGCTGGTACCCCTCATTGATCAGGTCGAGGAGCCGCTGCTCGTCCGGGAAGTCACGGAACCTGTAGGTCTTGCCCCTGAGGAAGAACGGGAGGGTGCCGTCAGCAGGCAGGATGGCCGCGCGGCACGGACCCGAGTCGGGATCCCCAGCCATCACATTCTCTATGTACATGTCGCCGTCGGGGGTGTACACCACCCAGTGCTGGGCGTCGACCTGGAACAAAATTTGACGCTCATGCCACACATCATCTTCCGTGTAGAACACGGCCACATAGCTCCCCACGAGGAGCTCATTGCAGAACTCTTCCTCCACGGCGGCGTGCCCTGTCTCCAGGAGCAGGGCGGCCAGGCCCTGCCAGCGCGGCACGCCCGGGGGAGCCGAGGCCGTCGGGCGCGACTCCCGCAGGGGAGCTCGGCGGCGCCTGGGCTCGGACGCCATCTCGTCGACGACAGGCGCAAAGGCGGCCTCCCAGCACCAGGACGATGTGGCCCACCGCGCCTCCCGCCAGGTGCCACAAGCCCTCCTTCACGTCACCGTCCGCCTCGGGTGGACACTCCGGCACCTTCGGGCACGAGCAGGTGCAGGCTGGCGCCTGTGGGCAGCTCACGCCCTCCAGCGGCCCGCTCCAGTTGGTCAGGGCCTCGCCCGCCGCTGCCGCCGCCGCGGCGGCCAGGCTGGCCGCGTCCGCGGCTGAGTAGGCGGCCTGGGCGGCCGCCTCGGCACCTGCGTGGCCCGCACCCTGCCAGAGCCCGGCCTGCTGCAGGAAGGTCTGATACACCAGGTCGGCGTGCCTGAGCAGCACTGCGCCCACCTCGCCGGCTGCGGCGTGTCGCGGACGCAGCGCCAGGGCCATGCACAGCCCGGGCCCCAGGATGCCCCCCTTCTGTATGAGAGAAAAGCTGCGGAGCGAACAACTCACTTCTACTCTCGAATCCCATGCAGAGCAAACCCAGGAGGAGGAGGAGGAGGAGGAGGAGGAGGAGGAGGAGAAGGAGGAGGAGGAGGAGGAACAGGAGGAGGAGGAAGAGGAGGAGGAGGAGTTAGAGGAGGTAGAGGAGGTAGAAGTAGAGGAGGTAGAGAAGGCATAGGAAGTAGAGGAGCGGCCCGGGGGCAACGGCGGCTATGGCGATCCGGGCCGCGGGGTGCGGCCCTCCTCGAAGCCCCCCCCTCCCGCGGGTGGCCTCCGGACCCCGTCCCAGCGGCTGCAGGACGGGGGCGGACGGCCGCAAGGGTGGGGGGGCGTCGCGCGCTTTCGCTGGGGAGCCTCGCCGACGACGCCGACGACGACGACGACGACGACGACGACGACGACGACGACGACGACGACGATAATGCCAGTCGCGGTCGACGCCCCTGAAGACACGTGGGCGACTAGACAGGCGCGTTCCAATACTCGCAGAGTAACTACTGGCTCATGGCCTGGACCCACGGCGTCGATGCAGAAATTTTCCACCGCATCTGCGAGCAGGCACTTGGCGAGTAGCGGAACGCGCTCGGTGAGCGGCGCAAATAAGGGGGTCCTACGCAAGATGGCACAGCGACCTTACGCGGCCGCTTACGCAGGTCGCTGGCGCGCCACGCCTACGCACGGCCTCGCGCGGGCAGCCTGCGCGCGAGCGTCGGCGCAATCGGCCCCGTTTCCTTCCGTCGTCATCGTCGTCGTCGTCGTCGTCGTCGTCGCTGCTCGCGCGGCGCTCACCCAAGGGCCGGGCCATCCGCCCCTGCTGCAGCCGCCCGCCGCGGACGGCCCCTGAGACTCGCGGAGCGCTGTATGGCGGGGGGGGCGGCCTGGTCCGGGCTGCCTGCGGCGCCGCGCTACGGTCGAGCACGAGGCGCCGTGCGCACACATACACACACACACACACACACACCACGGGGTGCTAAATGAGTATCGCTTGACCGATCCCCATCCCCAGCGGCGTGGCCTGGGCCCCAGTGGCCGATTTACCCCCCTAGATGGGAATATAAGTATTTCCTTTCGGGTTTCGAGGCGTGTATCCCAGCTGGAGCGGTAATTTGGTGGGGGTCTCGAATGGGATGGGGAGGGGATGGGGGTCAGTGAAACGATACCGACTCAAACTGTCCGTGGCGCCAGCCCTGGTGGCACTGCAGGCGTGCTCCGATCCACACGCATCCGGACGGTGTTCTCATGAAGGGCCCGAGCCGGAGCCGAAAAGAGAGCCGAGAAGCGACCCAGAGCAAAGTCGGCAAGCAAGAACCGAGCCGGACCGAGATTCATCGAACGATGATGGGGCTTCTCCCGCTCCGCGCAAGCGAGGAGGTCGTCGGGCGGAGGCCACGGCCGGCGCGCGCGAGCGGGGCCCAAAAAGGGTCAGGCCCCGGCGCGCGCGTGCGGGCCGAGCGGCGCGCCGCTCAGAGGAAGAGGACCCTCTGGCAGCTCACGGGCAGCATCAGCCAGATCCCGAGGCGGTGGTGAAGCAGTGCCGCGTGACTTCGGGAACGAAGGGAGAAAGGGCGGGTGGGGGGCAGAGCCTCCAGGAACGCTGTGAAAACTCCGACAGCAGTCGAATACCTCCCAAAAATATCCTCCTGTATTTCTCCTTTTCCTCGTCCTCCTCCTCCTCCTCCTCCTCCGTCCTGTCAAAAACATCGTTCCTCCCTAATCCTGCTCCTCCGTCTCCGCGTCCTCCTTTATCATCCTCCTCACCATCACCATATCAGCATCATGAATATCATCGATCATCCTCAGAATCGGCATAAGCACCAGCACCAGCATCAGCCACAGCATCAGCATCAGCACAATCAATATCATCATCATCATCATCATCATCATCATCATCATCATCATCATCATCATCATCATCATCATCATCATCATCATCATCATCATCATCATTATCAGCAGCAGCAGCAGCATCAGCATCAGCATCTGCATCAGCATCAGCATCATCAGCATCATCATCGTCATCATCATCCTCACCCTCATATTCAGCATCATCATCATCAACATCATCATCAGCATCATCATGATCAGCGTCATCAGCATCATCAGCATCATCAGCATCGTCATCCTCATAATCATCATCATCATCATCATCATCATCAGCATCATCATCATCATCATCATCATCATCATCATCATCATCATCATCATCATCACAGTCAGCATCATCGTCGTCATCGTTATATAATATACGCGTCATCACCACCACCATCATCACCACGACCGCATCATCGTCATATCGCCATCATCATCGCAATCGTCATCATCACCACCAAATCGTCATCGTCATCATCACCATCGCCACTGCGTCATCATCATCGTCACATCGCCACCATCATCAAAAACTACATCATGTTCGTCATCATCGTCATCAGCAGCATGTTCACCGCTTTCACGAGCACCATCACAAGCACCATCACAAGCACCATCACAAGCACCATCACAAGCACCATCACAAGCACCATCACCACCATCCATGACTTACCACCGTCCACCATCCCTCATCGATCAGAATCCGGTCATCTTCCATCATCCGCCACCGGTCATCAATCATCCATCGCCCACGGACATCCTCAACATCATCATCATCAGCAGCATCCTCAACACCACCGTCATCATCATCATCAACATCATCATCCTCATCATGATCCTCATCATCAGCCTCATCCTCATCCTCATCGTCATCCTCATCATCATCACCACCACCATCATCAGCATCACCACCATCATCATTATCATCATCAGAACCATCATCATCATCATCATCATCATCAGCAGCAGCAGCAGCATCACCATCAACATCAAAACACCATCATCAGCATCAGCATCAGCATCATCATCACCATCATCAGCAGCAGCAACCTCCGCACCCGCATCAGCATCCGTCCATCGGTATCACCATCCGTCCATCCAACCACCCACTCACCCACCCATCATCCCCACCTCTGCCCCCAGCCCTCCCCCTCGCCCCAAGCGAGAACGCCCCTGGACCGCCAGCGCCCGTCCCCGAGGCGCGCACCAGCGGGAACGGGAAGAAGCGGATCCCGAGATACTCCGCCTGGCGCTCGTCGGGGCGCCGTCGTCGCCGCCGCCGCCATCATCGCTCGCGCACGGCCACCACGTGGATTCGAACTGGAGGACTGGAGGCCTTCAAGATAGGGTCGGAGCAGATGGGGTCGGAGGACCGCGCCGCATCGCCGGTGCATCGCCTGTGTCGGCGTGAGGAAAGCCAGGCTCCACACCGAGCCGCATCGACGAGGCATCGGCGATGCGGCGCAACCCTCCTGCCCCATCCGCTCGGACGCCATCTGGGAGGCCTGGAGCGTTCACACTTCTTGTCGTAGACTTGGCGCTCGCGCAGATCGGTCGGGCGGACGCTGGGCACTGCGAATTGGCGAACTGTGGGAAGAAATGGGGGGGAGGAGGAGCTGCGGCCGCGGAGGAAGGGGAAGGGAAGGCAGCCCCCCTCGGACCATGCAGATCTTCCTGGAAGGGCATTCGACACATGGCAACACAGAACTCCAGAACGCGGGGGGCGACCTCCAGTATGATGGAACGCAGAAGACACACCATTACGATGCGCCCCTGGGAGACGCGAGCCCGAACAGAACAGCATAGTACAACCGTGTTGTAGAATATCCTCCTCCTCCTCCTCCTCCCTCCCTCCCTCCCTCCCTCCCTCCTCCTCCTCCTCCCCCAACTCCTCCTCCTCATCCTCCTCTTCCTTCTTCTTATTATTTGAATTAGTGTTATTATTATGATCAGTTGCTCATTATTGTTCTTATTATTTGTAGGATTATTAATATATGATTAGTAATATCCTTATTAGTGGCATTATTATTATTATTATTAACATTAGCATTCGTATTATCATTATTATGGGTATTATTATGTTTCGTATTATTCGTAGTAATGTTATTATTATTATTATTATTATTATTATTAGTATTATTATTATTATTATTATTATTATTATTATTATTATTATTAGTAGTAGTAGTAGTAGTAGTAGTAGTAGTAGTAGTAGTAGTAGTAGTATTATCCTCTTCCTCCTCCTCCTCCTCCTCCTCCTTGTATCATGCTCGAGCTTGATCGACATTCCTCGAACCTGCTCGATGCTCCTCGATCGTCCTCGCCGAGGACCCCCGGGCGCATCGAGGGGAGGCGCTCCGAGGCTCCGGCGCGAAGGTCGAGGGCGGGCGAGGGCTCTCCTCTCGCCCGTCCTCCATCGCCCCCGAAGTCCCCCCGAAGTGCGCGCCCGCGCGGGCATGTTTCCCTCCCCCCCCCCCTCCGGCGGCAGAGCGCAGCGTGCGGGCCGCGGCCCGCGAGCAGGGCAGCCCCCCGGGGCGAAGCGACGCACGCCTCTCCGAGCCCCGGGCGGCGGCGAGGGCGGGGGCCCGTGGAGGGGACCCCCTCTGCAGTGGGCGGGCACCGCGCACGCCATGGCCGGGGAGCCTCACCGAAGACTGCGCCGCGAAAGCGCGCAGCACCCCGCAGGTGCGGACACGACCCCGACGACGACGACAACACGACGACAACACGACGACGACGACGACGACGACGACGACGACGACGACGACGACGACGACGACGACTAGCGACGACGACGACGACGACGACGACGACGACGACGACGACGACGACGACGACGACGACGACGACGACTAGCGACGTCTGGCGACGCCTGAGCCGACGCGCTGCCAGGACACGGCCAGGCGCTGAGGGGGCGGCGGGGGACGTCGGCAGTCTGCGAGGCTCTGAAGAAGCCCGCCGCAGGCGCAGAACTTATCAAGCTATACAACGAGCCCGCCGCAGACGCCGATTTTTCCCAAATCAGAGCCTGCCTCTGCAGGGGTCCTAGCGGATTCATATGCTTAGGTGAGGGGCATCGCCGATTTCGGTGGCCCGCATGGGTGCCC